ACCCGCAGCAGATACCCGCTTCTATATATACACATAAATGCTAATAATACTTTCTGCAGGTTCACATCCGTAAAGTCAAGCTCTTGAAGTCGCCCAAATTCGATCTCGGTGCCTTGCTGAATCTGCACGGGGAGTCGACAGCGGATGAGTCTGGTCAGAAGGTGGAGCGTGAGTTCAACTTTTCCTACTTATTACTTTAACGAATATGAAACACCTTTACGATCTTTATCTTTATTGCGACATTATTGTTACGCCAAGGAAAGCTCTTCACAAAGAAGAGTTAGAGAAAGCTTATGACAGGTGTTCCCGATAGAAGACGGTAGTCTTGCACTATCGGTAATGTATGTGGAGGCCTAGTGCTATCGTAAGATGAAGGAAGCAGAAGAAAGAGAAGAAAAGTATCGTTCACCGTCACCAAGAACTAACCATCCAAGGAGGGATCATTACAGGCTTATTGGAGGTTGCAGTCTGCAATATGGTGTCCTTTATTGTGGATTTCGGTAATGACATATTCTCTAATAGTCATTCCATTGAACATATAGCCTTTTGGGATATATAGGCAATGTTCACCATACCGGGTACTAGTATAGACCATTCTATTGGATATATTGTATGGAGTAAGGTCTTCATGTCTAGAACTATTTATCACTTTGAAATAGATTGGGTCATGGCGATATTCTGCTATCATTTGGTTTCGACAGAATGAGGTTAATCTTTCTGTAGTTGATCTAATATCTCGTTCATCCTCAATGAGAGATCCTCTTGTCAGTTTGATAGGGGCTTTCTCTTCTTCAATGGTTTCATACAGTTGTCGGCGATGCTCAGGAATTGTAGGAGGCATGACAGAAACAATAGTTTCATTGTTGTATACTTGTAAGGGTCCACCATATAGTGGTCATGAATCGATTATGGGAGGAGAGGATAGTGGTGCTGACTGCGGGGGGTGTAGGTAAGATATTGCATCTATGTAAGCTGCTACCTGTTCGAGTTCTTCAAGACCTTAGTGTCATCTTGGGGCAGAGCTAAGGGTGAGGTGAGGTTGGGTTGATTCATTATTAACATCATCCATTACCTCTTCTGCTCCTTCTGCAGTATCGAAACTGGTGTTTTTGGAATCATTAGCAGACATATAGTATGGTCGCTGGTATCTGTTGCCGAATTTAATTTCAGTCTATTGAAAGGGGCAAGTATCGAGGTAACAGTGGGACCAGTGGAGTCTGCTTTATTCAAGCTCGTGAAGAGGTGTACTGCAGAGGGTGCAATCATCTTTCCACTTGTTATCAATGTCCTTTCCTCATTCTGTTCTAGCAGGTCTGTACATGGTGTAAGAGAAAGGATTGGAGAGAGCGGCAGAGGTGGTGGTAGCCATCGATGGTTCTTGTTCATCGGAGGTGTCGTCAGGGCTGTCTTCGCTTTGTCTTGTGTGGTCATGAACTAGAGGAGGGTCTGTGAGTTCTTGATTCTCATATAGGCAGGAGAGAGCATCAGCTAAATAGTTCGTTCTTCCAGGGGTAGAGATGATTTTTGCATTGTATTTGCTAATCTCGCCTATCCATCATGTTCTTCTCCTTCCAGGTACCTTTTCTGTTTTAAGATTAGTGAGAGGTTAGTGGTTGGTAACAATGGTGAAGGTATTGCCCATCAGAATGTGGTTGAAAGTGGCGAGAGTATCAATCACAGTAAGGGCTTCCTTGTCCATCATTTCATAGTTCATTTGTGAATTAGTAAACTTCCTGCTGTGTAATGCCGCTGGTCTTGCCATTTCATGAGAGGCTCCTTGTCTAACCCATGCTCCAACTCCAACGTCCGATGTATTAGTAATCAGCCATATCGGGTCTGGTTTAATGTAGTCGATAGGTCATATAACATTGGCGCTTTTAATCAATTCCTTGATGTTGGTAAAGGCTTGGTCATGAGTGTGGGTCCTGACAAATTCTGCATTGCCGGTAAGATTTGTAAGTAGTGCTGTTACAGTGGCATGGTGTGGTAGGAACTGGGAGATATAGTTGACTAGTCCTAAGAATTGCATGAGTTTCTTCTGATTTCGGGGTGTTGTCTATTCTGTTAAACAGAATATCTTTCCAGGGGCTGCGTGTATTCCTTCATCATCTATCACATGTCCAAGAATATCGAGTTTATCGGCAAATAGGATTGATTTGCTCTTGCTAGTGTAGAACTTAGTTTCTCTTAGTCTGGTACAAACTAAACCTATATGGTAGGTATGTTCCGTTTTGGAGTTTGAGGAAATGAGAATATCATCAATGTAAACCCATACAAAATGGTGGAGGTATTTGCTTAAGAGGTTTTCCATAATTCGCATAAATGTGACGGGCGCATTCATATCACCTTGTAACATAACTCGGCTAATGAAACTTCTGAAGGGGTTTTGAAACTGTTGTAGTGTTCACTTTCTGGATCTAACCTTGTCTGAAAATAGGCATCACTTAGGTCAATCTTGCTTAGGAATCTAGCCTGTCCAACTGCATTCAGAATCTTGGTTTGATTTGAGATAGTGGAGCTGTCCATAACTGTGTTTTCATTTCGTAGTTTGACGTCAACCAAGTGGCGAATTCTTTTGCCATCTGCTTTGGGTTGGACAAACATAGATGCGGCACCTGGTGCTTCCGCTCGGTAGATGACTCCTCTTCTTTATTGTTGGTTTATCCAGTCACATAATGGGTTTTTTTATACATCAGGGATTGAGTAGGTAGGTTGGTTCTTAAGATTAGAGGGGTCTCGGAGACAGATGTGATAGTTCACTTCTCTCATAGGCGGTAGTTCTTTGGAAATCTGATCAGGGAAAAAATCAGAGTATTCATCCAATAGGCATTGGGCTGTTACTTCACAGACTGCGGCTCAGTACTCTCCGCTTGTTGGCTTGCAAGAAACTCTGACCTTCTGATTTGGGGAATCGATGGTTGATTCCCCACACCTGATTACAGCTTTATTGCGATTCAGGAATGGCATCTCTATCAAGGCATCATATTTGGCTAAGTTTTAAACTAGTATTTCCTGGGGAGGTAAGATGGCAGAACCAAGTCGAATAGTTACACTGCAGGTTTTATGGTTTGTGGATCGTGATCCCTTCACTGCCATATTGACTGGTATGGGTTGGTTAATGTCTCGAGTCGGGAGTCCATAGATAGAGACAAAGGCATTGCTGATCATGTCTCTTCCAATCATGCCAGTGTCAAATAAGACTCAAGTCTTCTTGCTATTGATCAGAATAGTACCTTCCAGGGCAGTGTGTGCTTTAAATGTAGCCGGAGGTTGGACACTGTTGCACTCCACATTGATATATCCGATATAGATCTCCTCATATTCGCTGGATTGAGCATCATCACTATCATTCTCAATATTGTTGGCTGATGCCTCTTACTTAATCTCTTTTTCTTTCTCTTTTTTTGTAGGGCAGTTCCTTGCCATGTGTCCTGTTTTTCCACATTCAAAACATTCTCCTTTCTGTCATCTTGTTTCTTTGGAGGATTTTGAGATCTTTTTGAAAACCTATGGGGTATCTTCTTTAGAGTTGTTGGAGGGCTTGTATCGTAGTTGCCTATTACTGCTGGAGGATGCCTGTGCTTTGTATGCCTTGGTTTCATGGAGAATGGTATCCTTTAGTTCTGCCCTTGCAATTATTATTGCAATATTATCATCATCTTCCTCAAATGGTTCTACCTCTCGCCAGAGGGTAGAATGCATGGCATTATAGAATCGTCGCTTAAGGATATAGTTAGAAATGCTTCCTTTCTTCATGCGGTCCTTATACATCATCAGATCAGTAGCTACATCTGTGATTCTCTTAACATGCATTCTATTGACTTGGTGGAGGTGGTTGAATTTATTGTATAGGAGGTCATTGGTAATGGAGGATTGGAATTGGCCTTTCAGGTAATCGACAACAGTGGATCCTCTTAATCTTACATTTCCACTGTATTCCTTATAGCATTGGTGGTATGTGTCGGTTGCCTTTCCTTCGCCGAATGATCCAATGTATAGTCCAGTTGTAGGATCTTCCACATCTTTCCCTTGCAGAAGAAGGTAGTGTGTGAGTTCAGTCGCCCATCAATCAAAAGCTTCAGGTTTGAGGTCTTTTCCTTCTCCTGTAAACTTTGCTGAGAGATGGAGTTTGAACTTAGGGGGTTCAAATGCTGCAGGTACTTCCTCTTCTTCAGGTCGAGCCCAAGACTTTTCTCCTCCTGAAGGCCCTCCACCTGTACTAGCCATACCCTATTCGCTACTGGATTCGGGGTCGATCTGAGGTTCAAAGAAAGGCTGTTTTGCTGGTGTAGAAGGGAATTCTCCTGAGGATTGTGTATCTTCCATGTTTGCAGGTTCTCCCAGCTCCTTAGCAGAGCGCCGGGGTTGCTGCTTTCATGTAAGGTCTTGTCGTGGGATTTGCTTCCCACTCCTAGTCGTCAATGACTCTATGTTGGTTTTGAGATGAAGTCGAATGTGCCGTGATTCTGCCGCTTCTCTCCGCTAGTGTTCTAAGGTAGATATCGATAGGTTGATCAGGCCTAAATCTGGGAACAGGTTCTTAACCACTTGCTGAGGTTAAAAATATGTAATGTGTTCGTAAGGTGCTAATCATGTTATCGGTAATAGATACGATAGTTGTCAGATGGCCTGCTCTTCCAGAGAGTAGGTGAGAGCTGAGAACTAAAGGACGCTTCGAGGATGTACTGAGGAACAAAGAAGTAACTGTTCAACCAAGTATATTGAAATACTGTCTGTTGAAGTCTGCCTTTTCTATGGTAGAAACAGGCAGTCTTTAAATACACAAATCTGTTTATGTCTGGCATGAATAAAACTAATCAAAGGTATCAATCAATACACTTTAGTAAAACTAATAAAGTATCAAAGCGATACTTAAAATAAAACATAAAACAAAACTAAGTATCAAACGATACTTAAAACAAAGCAAGTATCAAAGTAATACTTAAAACATAACACAAAACAAAACTAAGTATCAAACGATACATAAAATAAACCAAGTATTAAATCGATACTTGAAACATAACACAAAACAAAACTAAGTATCAAATGATACTTAAAACAAATGAAGTATCAAAGCGATACTTAAAACATAATACAAAACAAAACTAATAACCGAGTACCTGTACTGGTTACAACCTCATAGTGAGGTCAGGTGCAAAAACTCATAAACTAATCATAACACAATAAACAAATCATATGA